AAAAGTAATTGCTTTATCTATCCAGAAACCTTCATTTCTGTTTGCTAAATACCTTTGTCTTTTAATAAACTGTTATCTCACATTCTCTCAACTTAACCATATATTTCCAATGCGGACTGATAATTCTCAACCTTACCCCAACTCTAACCCAAGATATTCAATCAGAGACCTTTCTTAGGATCTGTACATTTGGAATTACTTAAAAATGATTTTTTTTCTGTTTAATGGAAAGATGTAAAGATGTTCAACCTAAAGATGCCAGAGCCAAAGAGAGAGAAATCTAAAACTAGGGAGAAGAGACAGGCAAAGAATCCGAATGTTCAGGCCCTTGGTTCTAGCCATATCTTTTCTTCCACATTTTTACTTTTGGGAATCATTTTGAATTTGCCTTTTTACCCAAGACAGTTTCTGCCCCTCTCTTGTAAACAAGAGTCCTGACTAATATATGGAGTACATAAGAAGGCCTTGAATGTCAGACACAGATCTTTGGGTTTGAGGAGCTAACTGTCATGATTTGTGAGGTGCTATCCACCTGAGAATCTTTAATTCTATAATATTTATCTATAAACACAATGGGAACTATTGAAGTTGATATTAGTTGTAAAGCAGCTTTTCTGCAAGATTCTTTTGGCACAGGGATGTTGAATGGATTGGAGCAGAAATAAGCTGGAGACAATTAAAAGAGGTGGTTGACTATTAGAGCTGTCATGAGTAAACAGACAACTCAGACTGGAGGTGGAAGCACAGAGTGGAAAGGAAGGGTCAGATTAAACAGCCATTAATCTTTCCAGAAGAGTCATAAGAGGAGCAATTTCATCACTGGGCATTTGGTTGTGACTAATGGATTGAGACTTCTGTCTTTTTCCAAGTATTTAATAGAAAATAAATCTTCCATTTCCTTGTGTTTTCTTGAGTCTTTTCCCAGGGAAATATACCTCATCTTTTGAAACACAAAGGCTTAAGTCATATTTCCACAAAAATCCTTCTAACTAGAACAAAGATGTCTTCCAAATTGACATTTCTATAGCAATTTTGGTTTTTTATGACTCACTGACTTCAGACATTTCGAGGTAAACAGGGCAAATCATGCATAAAACCTGTATCATTTTCATGGAATCATAGGTTTCTAAGAGATAATGAGGTCATCTGTTCATCCCTCCTACTTTGCTCCAGCCATACCCAAAACCATGTTGGAGGGTGGTAACTTTGGATTTAACAATTTTAAATATCTTATTACTATATTGATTCCATACACACACACACAAGCATGCAGATGTGCACAGAGAGACAGACAGACAGAGAGAGAGAAACAGAGTGTGTGTGCTGGTGGAACCCATAGCTCTTACTCTGGAATTGGGACTGGGAGAAAATGGCTTCCTAACTAGTAAAAACTTCCTCTTTCTTGAAATTTTACAGCATGGCACGGGAGATGTTAGCCTAGTTCTAGCTAAAACTAGCCCAGTGTTTTTCAAACTTAACTGATCATATGAATCATTTGGGACGTTTGTTCAAGAGGTTACTAATTTGTCTTCCAAGCTGATTTTGATTCTGTGGGTCAGAAGTGGGTTGCTGGGATTCTCACTGGGCAATTTCAGGAACTATCATTTTGCATTATCTTTAAGGATCCAGATAAATCTGCAAGAAATTAAATTACACATCTAGCAGTAGAACTTAGAACCCATCAGTCCAACTAAGATTCATTTGACTCTGCACTTCTCTTAATAAAGGTGGTGAAAAACTAGTCTTTCCTATTTGGGTGTATGCATCTATTGTTGCACTTTATAATCTGACATTGTACTTATCAGTTTACCTGATACCATGTTATTTCCATTACCATACTTTTGGTATTTAACCAAAAGTTAAATATACCAACAGTATATGGTATATAACTTTGATTAAATGCCAAGGTTACCATTGGTATATAACCATTACCATACTTTTGGTATGGTAATGAAAATAATCATCATCACATCATTTATTCAATGCTTTCCTTGTAGCCCCATATTCTGGGCCCAGCTAGATTCCTAGAAAGCAATGTTTATAAAGTCAAAAAATAAGAGATTACTGATTCATCTTGTACTGATTTGCTATTGCTCCCTCATTGACTTTGCTACTCATAGTAAATGTCATTTATTGAGAACTTGCAAGGTACACAGCCCTACACGTAAGACAATTATAGACATCATCTCATTAAATCTCAATGACCCAATTAGCTGACTCTCCCTGACCTCCACTGCTCATTTATTACATCATTATCACTTCATTAAATCCTAACAGCTTCAGCAGCTGACTTCCCCTGACATCCACCACCCATTTATTGGGACTTGTACACCTGTTTACTGCTTAGACTGGGCACAACATTTGCCTAATCTCTTAGTCTCAACCATCTCAAGTTTTATACATACTACCAATTATCTATTTTGATTGTACCTTTGGATTTAAGCTTCAGAAGTCAAGTATAACCCCTGAAATGTGAAGACATCAAGAGTCAAAAGAGAAAAAGTAAAAATTCTGAAAAACAGAAATCTGCTAGCCAGGATTCCAGGAGTAATGGTTTTAAATGTAATATAAATCTGCTATTTGTGGGGTCTGGGTCAGATTTTTCTCTCTAGCCAAAAGAATATATCACTCAAAAGGATATGCCTTGGATGGTGACAAGACGTTCTCTGCCATTAAGCACTTGTGGCAAGGAAAGTCTCCAGGATTTGCTCATTAAGAGGAGATGGCAAAAGAAGCAAACCTTGCTGAAACCTCCAGAATAAATTTCAGTTAAACCCGAACCCTGAATTTGAAACTAGGTATTAAACAGAAACAACAACAACAAAAAACCTTAAAGCCAGCAGACTGGCACTTTGGTGTATCTAGTACTATATTATTTACAAACAATTTGAAAATAAGCTCTGTTGACTAAGCTATATTTAAAGAATAAAAAATGTCATAATAAATTGTCTAGAAAAAATAAAATCGGATAGAGTCTGAGAATAAAAAGAAAACAGGAGCAGATTCCACCTAGAAATAAGTTACAGTCTTTCAAAAATGGCTTCAGAGTAAGACATTTGATTTCAAATCCTGTCTCTTCTCTTAAATAGTACGGCTTGGGCAGGTCACTTGATTACTTTGGGACTCAGTCTCCCTATCTGCCTAATAGGTGGAATAAAACCTCAAAAGCCTATTTGGACATTCCCTACAAGTTTCTATCATAGTATTTCATAGTTAAAGCATGTATTAACATTTCTTTACAAGAGATAAATTCGCAAAAGAGATGGTGCCCAACCATTTCATGTAATCATTTTGAGGGTGATGATTCAGGAGCATTCCTCAAGATAACTATGCCAGTTATTTCGTTCACAGCTGTAACCACCTCACCACAAAGTGGAAGAAAGGCAAGTAAGGAGAGGAAAGCTGAGGATACAAGGACAAATCCAAGGGCCTGGCCATCGTTCTGGGCTTCAGACTTGTTTGGTCTCTCTGGAGAAATCACTTATGTATATAGTATGACTCTTGCACTGGTGCCATTGAGATCATTCACAAAACACCTGTAGCTCAGCTAGTCAGTGACAAATGTGGAGCCAAGCTGATGCAGGCATTGCAGAGATGTTTTCTCTTCACATACATGGCAGAGATTACAAATTCTTCAATTACTGTAAAATTCTTCTTAGAACAAAACTCTCTAACAGTCACCGACTTTTGAGAGGATGAGTTAGCATATCCCCCAAAGTCAGAGAGTTCGCTGAAAGCTCAGTGAAGCCACATCAATCACTTTGACTCCCTTCTGATAAATCTGGATAAAAGAATCTCTCTCAGAAAGAACCATTGCAATTGGAAATAATCTTAAAGGACAGCAGAAAATAACATTCTTTGTGCATCTCTTATGTACCAAGAGCTTACCTTTTTATGTTCATCCTCTTAACAGCTTTACAAATTAGGCATTAATATTCTCATTTTAGCATAAGTGGCTACGATCCAAAAAGAATAAGTTACATGCCTGCTATTTCATAGCAAATAACTGACAAGGACAGAATCTGAACTCATTTCTGTCTTTAAAACCCCTGATATTTTATTCCATCACACTGGGCCAAAAAGTCATTGTGGAAGTCAGAGAGAGGTCAATCAGAAATCAAGAAGTGAATATTTAAAAGTTGCATTTAATTTTCTCTGATTTTTTTTGCCTCAGTATTAAGTGGAAACTGGTTTCCCATAACCGCCTTTTGCCTACAGACAGGAATTAATGTCATCTTAACATCCACCTATTCTGTTTCCACCCCAAAGTGAGTGAACTAAAATTTAATTGACAGTAACTAGTCAGAGTATGTGCAGATCTCCCAGGTAAGGGCAAAATTCTTCACAGGACTGCCTGCACTTCAGATGCCAGCCACAAGTTTCAGAAGGTCCCCTGGCCACCACAGTTTTGACTGGCCACAAATTGGGGGTTCCCACAATTCCATCAGGTTTGATAATTCATGAGAACGACTTACAGACCTCAGAACCGCATTATACTTGTGATTACAATTCTATTATAAAGGATATCCATAGCGGTAAGATCCGGGAGGCTCCCAGATGTAAAGCTTCCATACCCTATTCCTATAGAATCAGCATATTACCTCCACAGCACAGCAATAATGTGTGCACCAACCAGGAAGCTACACCTTTTAGTTATTATTAGAGTTTCATTACATGAGCATGATGAAGTCATTGACCAAATGATTGAATTCAATTTCCAGTCTTCTCTTTCCCCAGAAGTCAGGCCAACTCAGAGTTCCAATACTCTAATCAACATCATTGGTCTTTCTGCTGACCAGTCCCTGTTCAAAATCATCTACGGGTCTATCATAAGTTATCTTTTTAGCATAACAGAGACACTCTTCATCACCTGGGATGGTCCAAGGATTTAGAGTCTCCCTTCCAGAAACCAGGGGCAGAGGCCAGGCAAACCTTTCATTATGTAAAAGATTTTTATTATTACCTTACACCACCTGACCCCACCCCCCCCAACTTCTTACCTTCTCCAACACTCCCAGTTCTGTCAGGGACACCACCAAACATCTTTTCATCTTGCCAGACTTGAAAACCTGGAATTGTCTTTGACTATGCCGTTCTTTTGCCCTTCTCAAGCAAGTTATCTTCCCTTCAACTGATTTTCTTCTCAACGTTTCCTGAATTCATCTCCTCTTCACTCCCACATCCACTGCCACTCAGAGTTCAAACCCTCAGGAGTCTAAGTTATTGTTCAACTTCCTGACTGTTCTGCCTGCCTCTAGCTTCACCAACTACAATCTTTCTTGCACATAACTGTCAGGTCAATTTTCTTTAAACATCCTAGTTATCACCACTTATTTCTTCCTCTAAGAAACTTGTACAAGAACCCTTTGTCTCTGCACCATGAGGTCCTCTGTGAGATCACAGTTCCTTGCCATGTGCTTCAGGGAGATAAGAAAAATCACTAGCATTCCAAATGGTCTTAGCAAGGAGGAAAGGCACACAGTGTGGTAACTGGAATGAACACTAATTCTGGAGTCCAGAGCCTTGAGTTTGAATCATGGTTCAGCTACAAGTTATAAATGTCTACATTGTAGAGGGATTTCATAGAGCAGATATGTAGGTGCCTAGTACATGTACGATCCACAACATACCTTGTTATTAGTAAACTCCAGTACATTTGCCTCCTCTGTTCTTATACCCACATTTTTCTGCTTAGCTATCAAGGGCTTCATGTAATTCTCCAAAATATACGCTGTGCTTCAACATAAAAATCTAATCTGTAGCTAAATGCATATTTTTCATTCCCATCATATATTTTCTCTAAATTCTCCCTTTTTATTAAGCCACTGGACTAATTTCCTGCTGAAACAAATTTCCACGAACAGTGGCTTTAACAATACTTTTTTCTCAAAATCATTACTACCTTTATTATTTTTATTTCAACCAGTTATTCTTGATTAACACTAACAGTCTCATACAAATTCTTAAAAATACAACTTATTTTCTATACCAAATAACATCATGAAACACTACAATTTTTTTCCCCATGTAATTTTGGAGGTCAGAAGCCCAAAATGGGTCTCACTGGATTAGAATCATGTTGGCCAAAACATGTCCATTCTGGTTACTCTCTCTGAGTGATAATCTGCTTCCTGACCTTCTTCATTTTCTAGAGACCACCTGCATTCCTAGAGTCCATTTCCATTTTCAAAGTCAGCAATATTGGGCCAAGTCCTTCTGAGGCCACTGACTCTCTGATTCTCTCATTTCTGTCTCCCTCTTCCATTAAGGGCCCATGAGATTACATTGGGTCCACCTGGATAACCCAAGCTACTTTCCCGTTTTAGGTCGGCTGATTCACAGCCTTCATTCCATCTGCAATCTTACTTCCTATTTGTCATGGAAGGTAACATACTCAAAGGTCACAAGGATTAGGATGTGGACATCTTGGGTCAGGGAGAACATTATTCTGCCTGCCACAGGACAAGTTCCGGCAACACTTCACCTGTGAAGCTTTCCCTGATGATTCTCATCTGTATTGTTCTCATTCCTCTAATCCAGTACTTTTCAACCTTGATTGTAACATAGAGTCACCTGGGGCACACTTTTAAAATGCTTGGGTCTAATTTTTTGTTTTTTTCTTTTTGAGACTGAGTCTTGCTCTGTCACCCAGGCTGGAGTGCAGTGGCACAATCTCAGCTCACTGCAGGCTCTGCCTCCTGGGGTCAAGCGATTATCCTGCCTCAGCCCCCCAAGTAGCTGGGATTACAGGTGCCCGCCACCACGCCCAGCTAAGTTTTGTATTTTCAGTAGAGACAAGGTTTCACCATGTTGGCCAGGCTGGTCTAGAACTCCTGACCTAGTGATCCATCCACCTTGGCCTCCCAAGAGTCACATTCTTGAGAGATATGATATTAGTCCATTTTCATGCTGCTAAAAACATTCCCAAGAATGGGTAATTTATATAGAAAAAGTGGTTTAATGGACTCACGGTTTCATGTGGCTGGGGAGGCCTCACAATCATGGCGGAAGGCAAATACGTCTTACGTGGCAGCAGGCAAGAGAGAATAAGAACCAAGTGAAAGGGGTTTCCCTTGTAAAACCATCAGATCTCGTGAGACTTATTCACTACCACCAGAACAGTATGAGAGAAACTGCCCCCGTGATTCAATTATCTCCTACTGGGTCCCTCCCACAACACGTGGGAATTATGAGCGCTACAATTCAAGATGAGAGTTCGAGGAGCACACAGCAAAACCATATCAGATATGGATTAAATTGGTTGATCACATGACCTGAGCAAAGTATTTCTTCTTTTTTTTTTCCCAAAACTCTCCCAACAATTCTACTATGCAGGCAAGATTGAGAACTACTGCTCTCATGAATTTTTGTAATTTTACCTTAATTGTCACAGTGTAAAGGAGATATAACACGATGATTAACAGGGAGATTCTGCAGTCTACCTGCTTATACTCAAATCTCCCAGCTCCACTTCTAACTAGTGGTCAGGTGCTGAGCGAGTTAAGCAATTGCTTGGTGCCTTTCTTTCTTTCTTTGTAAACCCAGAAGAATAATAATGCCTCAGAGTTGTTGAGAGGATTAAATGAGACAATGTATGGTAAACGTATTCTGCATAGCACATGACTCAGAACATGCTCTCAACAAATATTAGCTGTAGAAGTGTTTTATGGCCACTTGCCTTAAATGTAGAACTCACCTGTAAGATTTGCCTGGGCATGACCAATTTTTCTTTCTGTGGTTCTCAAAAAACAAAACAAATCCATTTATTTGATGAATAGGACACAAATAAGGTGGCCAGATAACAGGATTACTGCACTTTGAACCAAAAATCTTATTTTATTTTACTTTTAGGGTAGTTTTGTCATATTTTTGCTTCCTGAGTGTCTGCAACCAGTTTAACCTGCATATATTTTAGAATCATTTTTGAAAGTTTTTGAAAATACCAGGTCTAGGGCCCATCCCACCCCCCCAGGAATAATGATTCCATTGGGGCCCATGGCTCAGTACCTTTTAAGCTCCCTGGATAATTACATACACAGCAAGGGGTGAGAATCTAAGACCTGGACTAACTGGCTACAACTGTTCACATTCCGAGGACTTCTACGGAAGCTGATAATTTATGTCTGGGAAGGCTACAGCAGGTCTATTGATCAAGAGAAAGTAATACAAGAAAAGAAAGGAAAAAGAAGAGATGCAAAAGGGCAAACCAGAGACAGAGGAAGCAAGGGGGGAAAAGATAAAGAAGTACAGCTGAAAGGTATCTCCTGACTCCTTGTTGGTACTCACATCATGTTCTAAAAACATTGCTCCATCCCAATTAGGTCTTTAAGGGGGGATGGAAATCCTTGAAGAGAACCTCAGTAAAGAAATGGTATTCTGTGCCTTTCCCAGAGTACATACTCAAAATATATCTCAGCTGATCTGAAATACGGCAGCAGCAAATACTTTTCTGTGGCTGCTCAGATAGTGTTAGAGGAGGCATTAAAAAAAGATGAAGCTGAATGTTTAGGGCTATTCCTTAAACAACTCCAGAGAGGAAATTCCTTGCTCATCCTGGGTAGCACCCAGGTCACAATGCAAGAAACGTGAGTCAGAAGAGCCAATTACTCAAGAAGTTGCCCAATTTCCTTCCATCTGGTGGTGGAAAGAGGCTCTAAGTAACCTCAAAATGACTCCCAGGCATCTATTACCAGCCAGTCAACAGCATTAGGCAGGTGGCCACAGCACAAAGAACTTTTCTATCTACTGCAAAAATATCCAGAACAAAAATTGTTATAACTTGCATTTGTATATATTTTTAATTCAAAAACTCCTTTCTCACTTATGATCTTACCTAATTTTTTTTCTTAGGGAAACAACCCTTGTAAGATACATAGGGGCCAAATATTATCCCCTTACTTGAAATGAAGTTAAGTCTCAGGCAGTGAGTGACTGAATGGTGGAAATAAAGGCTTCCGATCTTATCTCCTTTCTGGATATGCCCCTTTCCTTGAAAAAAAAAGTGTAATTAGTTATGGCATAGATGATTACAAAATAAACTGTAAGTATTTAAAAACAACACATTGTCAGGGTGCTGAAAATCGTCATCAGTAAGACTCCATATAAGAAAACGTCTTTGAGAAATGGGAATTTAATATTAGCAGTATTCACAAGCAAAAGGAGATTATGTATACCACTATACCCATACTGTTAGAGTGAATGAGAAATCTCATATGCTAAATGTTACTGTATTAAAAGTCAGATACTTTATTAATAATGGCGAATGATGATTCAATATCTGAACAGCAGAACAAGATTCTTGACGTGCATTTATTATCTTATCCTAACAACCTCCCTCTAAGATAGTTAATTATTGCAAGATTATTCTCAGTTTATGGACAAGGAAGCAGGCCCACCAGGCCAGTGTCCTGTAGCTGGTGGATGGCAGAGCCATGATTCAGACCCAGGTCTCTCTGACTCCAGAGCCCAGGCTTTTTCCACTGCTCTATGCCATCTCCTCACAGCCCATAATTAAGCAAAATAATATGCTCTTCACAAATGAAAAGATCTCACGCATGAAAGTGACGAGACAACTTTCAGTTGATGAGCTTCCAAATACGCTGAGGATCCTTTTTCCGGAAACCGCATTTGGCATAAGGGGACCAAAGTCCAGACAGTTCCGATGACGTAACTCAAGGTCTCCGTGGATGTTGGCCTGGAGTCCGAAATAGCTCCAAGCTCTCCCATCCCGGCGCCTCTGTTGCCTCCCCTCTTAGCCAAGCTCAGGCTGCCCACGGGACTTTGCAAGTGGGTGAGGCGACAGCGTTCACAAAGCTTGAGACAAGGTACATTGCGATCTCTTTCCCCATCCCAGTAACTATTTCTGCTGCCTTCCCTCTCTCTGGAGCTTATTCTCAGCTTTGTAGGATATCATGTTTGTTTGTTTTGCCTTCAGCTTTAAAAAGATCTCTTAACAACAGCTTAAGACTTTTATAAAATTACCCATTACCTCTTAGAACAATCCAGAGAGCTGCTGAAAAGAAATGAGGCTCTGAGAGATGGTGCTTGGGTTGGCTTTGCATTAAAATCTTTCTCATGGTGTTTCTCCACACCTTCATTTCCATCCACCTTGTTTAAAATAAAGTCTTCCCTCAAGCCTAAAAGTCAGTCAACAATATGCCCAAGAATGTATTACACCCAAGCAGCTTTACCTGGGAGTCCTAGGAATTCTTCAATTGTGGTTTCTGAGTGTGTTCTCATCTTCCCCAACATTTCCTCAGTCCCTTGTCTTGTCTTCCTTTCGGTCTTCCCCTTTATCTACCAGGACTTAGTTTCTGTCCAAAGGAAACTACAAAGTAGTGAAAGTAGGCACTGGAATTAAAGTTAAAGGTCTGAGTCCAAATCTATCTTCTTTTACCTGGCTTAGCTGACCCAGTGACTGTGGACAAGGTACCTGACTCTGTGAACCTCCTTTCCTCATATATAAACTGGAGATCAGAGTAATACCTGCCCGACTTATCTCACAGATCTATAGTACTTATCAGAGTAGATGAACAGGAAGCCCACAAAATGCCCAGTAAATATTAGTTTATTCACCGGCCACTCGTATGACCAGATACTGTGTGCCACACTGGACACTACAATTAATAAGATAAAGCATCCCTTTTCACAGAGCACAACTTTAATGGGAGAGGCAGAACTGGAGGAAAATTATGACACATTATGATGTTAACACAGTAAGGTGTGGAGTGTCATGGGGCCTGGAGGAGGAAGCCTGGCTGAGATTTGGGGATGTAGTGTGCTAGACAATTCCAGGAAGAATCCACAGAGGAAGTCAGGTTTTATCCGGGCCATGAGCACTGAATGGACATTTTCTGAAAAAAGAAAAAACCAGGAGAAAAGTGCACCTCACAAAGAAAGATCAGCACACATAAAGGGCCTCTTGTACGAATAGGAATTTTGTGTCCTAAGTGCCAGGGGGACAACCTGTGGTTTTCAGGAGAAAGTGAAGTAATAAGTGTGTTTTAGAAAAATCATTTTAGAGGCAGTGGGGTAAGAAAACCCTGAGAAGGAGATGATGCCAGAAAAGGAAATGAACCCCAAGATAACAATTCTCATCTCTAAGCTTGGACTAAAAGGAGTTGACATAAGTTCAAGGATATTCTTTTGACTTGTGGCAAAGATGTCTTCTGACAAAGACAGTCCTGCAGGGAGGCAAGAAGGTCCCTGAAAGACACCCCCCGAAACATACACCTGGGGCTATTGCAGCTGAGAGCCTCCATATTAAACAGCAGCTGCACTTTCCTCTGATTTTAATCCCTTCTTCTTATTCCTGAGCCATCAGCCATGTCATATTATATGTTATTAACTGGTCTCAGCTGTGTTGTGGTGAAATAAAAATAAAGCTTGCCCAGGCTGGGACACGGTGATAAAGAGAAAACCAGTGAATGATGGTTAGCATGTATTGTTTTATATGTGCCAACAATAATCTTGTGCCAACAAGATTTTCTCAGCAATCTTGAGATTATAGAACTCTAGTTATTCTCATTGTACAGGTAAGAAATCGGAGGTTTAGAGTGATTCAACAACTTGCACAAATCACATAGCTGATACGTGGCATTCCATCTCCAGAGACAATTCCCTTTACTGCTACCCTCGAG